AGCCAGAGTCCCGAGTCGCCCAGGTAAGGTCCGCGGTCCCCGGCCAGCCCGCGGGGTTCCGTGGTCCGGCCCGGCCTGCGGCTCCCCACCCCCACCCTCACCCTTCTGGTCCCCTCCCGCCGCCGCCGCCGCCGCCTCCATTTGTTATTTCCCAATCGCGTCCCCACTGCGGGCCCTGCCTGGTCCGCCTGGGGTTCGCTGATGGGGCGCCCCATGCAGGGCTAGGGCCCGGGCGCGCCGCGGCCCGGGAGGGCTAGGGAAGGAGGGGGTCTCCGGTGCAGAGGTGATGGGGCCGAGGGTGCCGGTGCTCGGGGACCGTGGAGGAGGACGCGGAGGTGGAGGGCTGGGGAGAAACCGGGTGCTGGGAGGGGTTCTTGTCGAAGCAGGAGGGTTTGGAGAGGTGGGGCGTGAAGGCACCCGGCGAAGCCCAGTAGAAAAGAGCCCGGGCTCCAGAACCGGGGTTACGGGCCGTAGGGACGGAGAGGAAGTGGGAAACGGGAAAGGGGTGTGGTAGGTGGACAGAGAGGGATTCTGGCAGCTGCCGAGAAAGGGGCCTGGAGCCGGGGTAAGCGGAGGGTCGGAGAGAACCGAGCGGTCCACCTTGGAGAAGCCGAGCCCGAGGTTTATGGGGTGGAAGTGAGAAGGCCATGTCTTTTGTGACTCAGTTTTCCTTTCCCTATTCCAGGTCACCTCTGACCCGTTTTCCCAATCGCAGGCATAGTTACTTCTTGAGAGGGGCGTCGGGCCCAGCAGTGTGGATCCTTCTAAAACTAATGAGAATAGGGTCGCTGAAGGCGAGTTAGGAAGAAAGGGTTTCTGGGAGGATGGAGGAGAGGAGAGAATTGGGCAACCTTAGGCATTCCAAACAAGTTGTGACCTCCACCCAGAAGTCCCCGCGTGTTCGCTGCCCCTGAGCTGAGATTTCTTCAGAGGTCTCCCTTTGTGCCTGGGGTAGGTACCCTGAAGCTGCAGTCCCTAGGGTGCTACTCTAGGAGAGTAAGAGTTGCTTCAGCAACTGGGGTGCTGGTGGTGGCTGCCAGATGGCCTCCTGGGGTGGGTCTCTTGTGGTGCCTTTTTGTTGCTATGGCTGCGATCTATTT